CAAATACTATTTAGAGTGCAACAAAATAATCTTAAAAAATAAGGAAGTGCATTGAACTAGATGGAGGACATATCGAGCATTTAGCATTTACTGAAGTAACCTCTTTTAATCCATATGTTTCATTCTTAACTTTTTTCTGTTGCGTAGTGTCCCCGGTTGTGGCTATACACAAAATACAAAAATTTAATTATCTTGACAACCGTTAATTTTTTCATAAGTCATGAAGTATACCTTTTTTTAGAAAAATAACAAGGCTAATTGTTTACGAGGGCGAAATGTCAAATTTGACAGCTCTGTCAAAGTTGCGTAAATTTTAGAACATAATTTCGACCGTCCTTGTGTAATAAAAAATTTTTGATTCAATTTTAAATGTACAAAGATACATTTGAATGAGTTGTTTTGATCCCCCAAATTTCAAATTAATCAAAGTAACCCTTTAGAAATTATGGGCAATTTTCTTTTTTCAACTTCTTACTTTGACTGACAATAACTCCTCACCAGTGGCACCTAGGTAAAAAGTTTATATGAAGTACTAGCACTCGTTTGACCTGCTCTATATAACCTTTTATTTTATCCCCGTAGTTACCGGACACCCTGTATAATTTACACAGCAACACAAAAAATGTTTTTTGAGTCTGAAGGTCAGGCTACGCCTACTACATGTTTTCGGGGTCGCTGAATCCATTTAACCCTATCACGCCAGGTTTTACCGATAACCCCATATCACCTCATAGCCCAAGCTATCGAGTCCTATTACACACAACGGTCCTGTAAAAGGAGCTGTGCACCCACAATAACCCCATAATCCTATACATTCAACCTCAAACCTCCTAACCCCATAACCGTATAATCCCATAACCCCATAACCGATAACAACAATAACCACGTTACTCAGTAGTTTGACTTGATCTCTCCTCGCAGGATATATCGAGGTTATACATATAAACAGAATATATTTAACCCTACAACCCCTATCGCCATAACCCTATAGCCCCATAACTCAAATAACGATGTTACGCAGTAGTTCGATGGTTTGATGTAATAAACATAGTCTATATTGGCTCCTAGTTTCATCATCTCCAGTAGATTCTCCGTCAATTTCAAAAATATCATGCCAAATGAAGATTTATTATGCGTATACTAACCCAAATCCTTGGGTCCCTGGATCATGACTTTCATGCCGTCATGGCAGGCACAGGTGAAAGACGTACGAGGCAGGGTTTCGGATGCTCAGAATCGGCGGTTGGTCAGGGTGCGAAAGCGAGGTCCGCGAAAAGAGCTTCATTTGGCTGTGTTATGTACATAAGTAAGGAAACAATCGCGTTTTAGAGAATTTCGCAACTATTGCAATTATGTTACTTGTCTGCCAAGAATCAGCGCTATTATTGTCAATCACATTGCTGTGGCCAGGATCTCATGTCAATTTTACACGATTATCCCGCACCAACAGCAGACACACTTTAGGACACTGCGGGGGATGATCGTGTGGAACAAATGTGCGTCGCCTGACAGTACATATCTGAAGATTTATATATTTCAAAAGATTTTATTGTGCACAAGTGAAGTCAGCGAATACTTCAGCCTGAAAGACTATAGCATACTCAGAACATAGGTAAGGAATATCTTGTCGCTAACACTCCAAGAATCTTATCTCTTCTGCTGTTGTTCGTAGACCGCCGTGTGACCCTCATCATGCCTAGCCGCAAAGTCCACTATTTAGCTGTAATTTATTTAAACAGAGTCATATCTTCCCAAAGAGCCTCCTGCAAGTTTAAAAGGATACAGTGGCTTTTAGTAGGTAATTGTTTTGTCAGATTGAGACTTAGGTTAACACAGAGTAACCCCAGACACTTGACTACTATTCTAGACTTTTGAATGGTTTTGTAGAATACAGTTTTCTGCTGAATAAAGGAAGATCGACCTTGGATGATTTGGTTCTTAATCGCTGTCCGTATATGCCAGTTTTCTATTATGCTTAAAGCCGGTTAAATAAGGTCACTAATGACACTTGGCGATTTACCTGAAATAAGTACAACGAGGTCATTGACTAAGTTTGCTTAAAGACTCCTCCCACGATGGAGAATAGACCATGCCATTCTGCCGCCTTTTGGATGGTTACAAAAGAAGTGCTATCAAAATATCTGGCAACGTAAGAAGACAGCGAACTCATTCTTGCTAATAATTCTTTTAATGTTGTAAACCACAATAAAGTCGTTCCTGTTTCATTTACCTGATATAACTGATTCGTATGAGTGCTGTGAACTCTGTAGCGATAGTGTCTTTAATTCCCTTTTTATCAGTCTTATAGTTTGGAGTTTGAGCAGGAAGGACGTCTAAAGGGTTTTGCATGAAAACTGCAATTTTAGAGAAAATTGGAATATATCCGATAACTATCGTGGACAGTAACGAATGATAATGGATAATATTTTCTGACTCATATTGTAGAAGAATCGGGAAAATACCATTCAATTTTGCACTTTTGGATGGAAAAAAGGTAAGAATCATCCATTCAATTTTCTCAGAAGTAACAACCTTAAGAGCCGTTTTCCCAAGCCGAAGCTTCTACATGGAGATATGCCTAGGTTGACGAGCATCATCAATTAAGACGGACCCAAGGAAATTATAATCAATGAGGTTATTGCACAAGCTGTTTGATTTATAAAAAAATATATTCAATTTGTGCGCCATTGTCGTTAAAATTTTTAAACTATGGACCTGCTATTACAAAGAACTTCTTATTTAAATTACTCCTCTCTGCCTTTCTACTACTAAATAAAAGTAGAAGAGCAATGATAAAACATGTTAATTGTATATCCTATTAATAGATAGTACAATTTAAAAACTGTCTAGGACGTCACAACTGTCCGCCAAGATTATTTCACCTTTGTACTGAAATTATGGTTTCATATAAATAAAATAATATGGGTCAAAGTTTTTTCCACATTATTTAATTTTATGACGATATTTGAAAAGGTGCAAACACCACCGCTGCTGATTTAAAAAAACCTGCTTTGTACCTTCTCTGAATATGTTATATAATTATAACTATACATTATAATTTATAATATACAGTGTGTTTGTAAATAAGTAGAAATATTCGAATCACCCCAAAAAATGCACATTTATCCCTCCAAAGCGTTTTTTCCAGTCAATATCTTTAAAACTCTTTGAAATAATTAATAAAAATAAATAAAAAATTTAAATTTAAACATTCTGTATCTCAGAAACGAATCATATTTCGACCTACGTTTATATGAATGAATCTTTTTCACAAAATAACTTCGGCAACTACCCCTTAAAATATTTCGCTCTTATTCACAAACACCTTGTATATATTTATAAACGTATATATAACTACAATTACGTGAGCATCTAATATTATTCTTGTTCATCAATCTAGTCTAAAGAATTACAGATGCTCTTCTAATATTTCTTGTTGCACTAATGATTTATTTTTGGCACCTGAGGGGAGGAAATTATTACGTTTACTGTTGTTAGACTTCAGTAAAGCATTTTTTGATACTTTGAATCAACAGCTTCTTTTGGCAATTTTAAAGTATGAAGGACTTTTATTTGCCATTGTGAAAATTTTCTTTAACCATCTGACTCAAGCTATTTTGTTATTTCATCCTGATGATAGTGAACAAGCAATTTAAGCAATTAATTTTGAGTTATAATAATGTTGTAAAATTAGCTCAGGGACATTCCTTACAAATTAATAGCAGTAATAGTTTTCGGTAGTAAAAAAAATGTGCATGGCAACTTAACTTCAATATAATAGATGATAGTATTAATTTTACTATTTCTGTTAAAAACCTAGGACTAATAATAATTGATCAAAATTTGAGCTTTTCTTGTCAGCATTTGATACCAGTCCAATCAAAAAGCTTCAAAATTCCTTAAGATTAATTTCTGGCATTTGTAAGTATCATATTTTTAGAATAATTCATTGGTTGAATATGAAAAATAGAGCGCATTTTTTTATAAACGAAAAGTTCTCCTTATGTATATAACAAGATTCGCTATAAAACTGATGTTTATAATGTAAATATACGTCGCAACGACACTATCAAACCTCCTGTATATCGTATATATTCTTTAAATCATCATTGTTATACAATGTCACTAAAACTGAATAATTTACCCAATTATACTAATTGGAAGCCTATGTCTCTCAATTAGTACTTCTTTATACACCATGTGCGTTACTTTAGTGATGTATATATTGAGATCTTGGAAACTATGAAAAATATAAAGCGATGGAGGAATAGCGTTTCAGAGCGATGTATTAAAAAACAGGAAAGGAGAAATTAATTAAAAATGTTTGTTTTAATCATTTTTTTTTGTTCTTATGGATACGATATTACTGCGTACTGAATGTAAATAATAATTTGTTAACTTTTCAAAAATGTGTCAAAATGCGTCAAAATGCCAGTGTTATCGAGGAAAAGAAACGTTGAAACAAACATCTGAATTACAACGAAATTCTGTACAAGAAGTTACTATAATAATGTTTTCATATTTGAAAAATTCTTAAAAATAAAGAAATTACATTAGATTCTAGAGGTTTTGAAAAACAAACAGGAACACTAGAAGTCAACATTAGTAACTTTACGTGAGATTAACTTTAAGCTATACACAAGTCTATTTGGCTATATTTCTGCGTTGCGACCGTACGTTACTGTGAAATATAAGTACATATTATATTTCTTATTAAAAAATAGGAAATAGCTTAGAAATGTTTTTTGTATTAAATTAATAATCACAATAAAACAACTGCAAAATCCAATAGTTCATATTTGAATATTTGAAATTAAATTTCTCTAGCAAAAGTAAGAAAACACTTAACTGATACACTTTAGAAAGAAAAATCTTATAATAAACTTTTTTTATATAGGGTGCTTTAGATAAAAAATTTTCTTATGGATCTTGAGTCTATCATCTTACGTGGCCATGTACAATGATATAATTTATGGTTTATTTGCAAAAGAAAGAAGAGGTTCAAATCTTAAGTCGTTTTATTTTATCATATAAGTAAAGGTCACAAAACTAAAACATTGCTTTCACACAAGAGATGACGGATTATGGATGATGATATCAGTCTATGGTAACACACAAAGCAGTAAATCACAGTTTTACACTATACTATATAATCTTACTGTCGATACTGTCCATTGTAATCCTGAGGTATTTCTTTCCTGCCCTGGGGATTCTCTTTAGCTTCCCGTTCATCTGCTTCCTGCAATAAATGTCATATTTAAAATCAATTTAATAAATCATGAATTAGTGTTGTAAACTGGAATATTATGATTTTGGTTAATTATCACTTAAACTTATAAAATTCTATTTTATTTAATCGTTCTCAGAAAATTTATAATAATAAATTTTCATGTGATAGAGATATTACCCCAGGTGTACCTCAAGGTTCCCCCTTAGTACATTACTGTTTTCAATGTATAAGTCAGATATTATTAAATCAATTGTAAACTCTAAGATTCAAACTTTCAAACTAAAGATACTCGGGGCACAAACATTATGAACAAACGAACTATCAAAGCAACTAAAACGAAACGTCAAAAAAAGTTCAGAAAACGAAAAGAGATAATTTTCGAAACCTCAACAACTTTGTATTTGTCATTTCACTAATTTTTACATCTTTTCACAGGTGGAAAAATAAAAAAAAAGAAAAAACGGAAACTATACCAGAAATAAATATCTTCAGACAGTAACAAGTCATCAATTATGGTTTACATCTTTCAAATAAACTTTCAACAACAATTTCTTATCAATTTTTTGCTTTTTAGTTATTCTTTTTTAGCAACATAAACCATACTAAGTTTACAGAATAGTAGCTATAAGTTAGACTTCGTCATAAGTGTGGAACTACTACTTTTTACTGTTTGGTTGTATGCTATTTAGTTTATTATTATGTTTTATTTATTTTACGGTGTGACAAGACAAAATAAAAGTACCTACACATTTAAAAAATGTATGTCATATGTTGCTCTTATGTGCTAAAATAATATTAAAAATGAATTTCTTAGAGATTCACCTCTTAATTATGACCAACAATTTATATCATTGAGATTAAAAATTAACAAAATATTACCTGTTGCGCCCTAATACCAGCGAAGATAAGGTCAAGTCCCTTTTGTACTTCTGGACTTACAGGAGGTGGTGTTGGTAGGTGATCTCCGGTGGCATGGAAACCAGTCTCATCAGCAATGTAGTTTACTGTGATAATTTGGCCATCGGGAGATGTGTAAGTATAAGAACCCTGTTGCACTTGGGCATTTAGTGTTTCTCCTTCTGCATCTGGATCAGGTCCCAAGTTCTTTACATACCCTTCTTCTTCAGCAATAATATTGTTTCCAGTTTCATAGCTACGAAAACAATTTTCTTTATTGTACATTATTAAAAAAGAATACATGCTATAGTAATAATAGTAGTAGAAATTACACCAAGAAAATAATGTTGATTTGTTAATTTGACGAACGCTCTTTCTACGTCGTAGAAGTAGAAGCCCCTCAGGTAAAATTGTTTTTAAAACCGAGGTGTATGGATGAAAATCGACTGAAAAAATCCACCGAGTTTTGTAACAATTTTACCCAAAAAAACCGCGAAATTCTGAATGAGGCCTCGTACTCTTTAGGGTACCTAGTGTAAATCTTAATTTCTTTAGTGAAAATTAATGTGACAGAATCATCCAAATCGACTAGAATATTTTGAGTACCTACTTCCACAGTTAAAGTTCAGCAATTTGCAGTTTTTTTATGGGATTTTAATTTAATTTTTTATTTATTATTGAAATATATCACAAAAATTTGACGTAATGGCATTTCAGTTTATATTTTTCTTGTTAATAGACATCAATTATAATTTTTGAGAAGTACGTGGAAAGATTTTTTAAAAGGAAGCCTATGTGATAATTAAAATTTGTATTGAAATTTTATTAGGAGTTCTTCTGACTGAAATTTTTATGTCACTTCTTGTTTAATTAAAAGTGACTTTTAAATTAGAAGATTTAAATACAACTTCAAGAATTTTTTACAAATTGTTGCGGATTTTAATCAATTTTGCTAATAATATTATAGCCAATCAAATGTAAATGTAATGCAATGTAATATATAATATGAGATTTTAATTTTTAAATCAGTACAGATAGTACAACCCTAAGGGTTTTAGATGATAAAAACGGATTTGTAATGTCGACTCAATCTCCTTTCTATCATCCTTGTAGAAATATTCTATTAATCACTTGTACTATGAATGAGTAAGAGGTCCCTCCCCTGTTGCACAACGCATCATTATAAAATTCCTGATTGAAGAAGCGGCTAACCACGGGCAAACCGTCACGTATAGTTCAGAGAAGTCCTGCCTGGAACCGATGTTTAAATATGCATAAATAATTTTTGGAAAATTGAAATCAATGTCACTACCGCTGTTTAAGAACAAACGACATGAGTAATAAGATTCATGCTCATTCATTTCTTTAAGTCAAGAATGACTGACATATTTTTTATTATTTGAAAGAGTGGTGTAATTATTGATGGAAAGGGGCATATTTTGAGGACAACATAGGAATAAAAAAATCTCTAAGAAACCATAATTACACTATTACACTAACCAAAGAACATATTACTTGATATTTTTCTTTCATTTTTTTGTTATTTTAAATCAAAATACTTTTTACTAAACTAATAATAGAAGTTGTTGAATTTTAGTACAAAGTTTTTATATTGGATTGTTTAAAAATGTAGGATTGGTCAGAGATTTGAAGAATGTAGGTACTCATTTCCCTAACTGAATCTAAAATAATAAATGTAATAATTAAACTAAACCATTGTTATTTATATATATTATATGTATATAAAGTAAACAGAACGATGCTAATTTGCCTGCAATATTTTTATTGGAAATAATAATATGTTATTAAATAAACAGTGTAATATTATTTTCAAATTCTAAAGTTTTTATATGATACGCAAAAGGGAGGTCGCGAAAAGTGAATGAGCTAATAATAATATTAGTTGGCAGAATACTAATAGATTATAATCTATTCTCATTCACTTTTCGCGAACTTTGTTTTGCGTAAGTACCATATATACAAAACTAGAATTTGAAAATAATACACCGTTTATTTCTTTTATTGCACCCTCTGATTGGTGATTTGGAAAAAATGCCCTTCCCTTACGTCAACTTCATATTTTATATAATTCGGATTCCTCCCAACTAACTAAGTGTAGATATCTAAAATTATATATTCTCTTACCCAAAATGCCAAGGAAATAATTGTTTGAGTATTAAGGCCCGGTATTTTAAGTCTCGGTTAAAGCTTGATTAACTGATCAGGCGATTAGACTGTACATAATATACTGATTTATTTTATAAAGTATATCGCAGTCTAATCGCCTGATTAGTTAATCAAGCCTTAATCGACACTCAAAGTACCGGGCCTAAGACCATTAAAACTTTAAAAGAGTAAAATGCTTTAATTATAACATCAAAACACTTACGATGCTTTGTAGCTTCCGTCTTCTCCTTGCTCCTTGTCGAATCTGATTATAGGAATGAAGGTTGTACTTTCACTAGACCTTTGTCGTGGTTCTTGTTGAACAGGCTCATCATACTGCCTTTGAGGAAGAGCAATGGCGATGCCAAGGGTTATTACTGAAACTACCTGAAAAAAATATAATTATTGACAAACTGATCGTCACAAATGCCTACATGTAGGATATTCTCTCAAAATGCATATCACAACCGCAATGGTTGTACCTTGGATTGTTGTAGAGTAAAAATATCAAGGAGGATATTCTTTGAAATACTATTACTAAGAATCTTAACGCAACTTTCCGTTATACCAAGCTGCACCCCTGAGAAGTTACAGGTCTTGAAAATAGGGTTTCAAATTTTGAAAAAAATCAATAACTCAGTTATACTCGAATTTAGAAAAACCAAATTTGGTACACGGTGTAAGTGTACCAAGAGCATTAATCGACAATAAGTAGAGTTCAATTGAAGCATTTTAAAGGGTTAATAACGGATGATGCACCATTAAAATGTGACAGATAAAATTATTACTTTGTTTTATGGGGAATTTAATTTTAAAACTTTTCTAATTCTTGTTAGTTATCAAAAAATTTGTCGTTTTAAACAAAAACATGAATAACTAATTATACGTATTGTAGCTGTGTTATTTAAAATCATCGAAAATTCGAAAGATGGCTATGAATTTAAAAGTCAAACTTGACGATCGGGAAAAAAGTTGGAATAAGATTAATTTAATAGAAAAATAAACAACTTAAACAACAAAAATAACATACAATTTGAACTGATAAGTTATAGTAAGTGTTCAAAATGGTCACCGTTTTCTCTCAGACATATTTATTCTTCGTCGAAAATTGAAGTCTACTCTATCCAATAACTGCTGATTGTTTCTTTAATGTTTAAATTCATAGCCAACATTTCAATTTTCGATGATTTTAAATAACACATACGACATACACGTATTATTAGTTATTCGTGTTTTTGTCGAAAACGACAAAGCTTTTTGAAAACTAACAAGAGTAAGAAAAGTTTTAAAATTAAATTACCCTTAAAACAAAGTAATAATTTTTTAAAGTCGCCAATGGGTTAAAAAATTCTCGAACTTTTAATAGTACCTCATCCTTTATCAACCCTTTAAAATACTTCAATTGAAGTTTACCATTAATGTTCTTATTACACTCACACTACTAAATTTTTTTTTAAGTTAAAGAATAACTGAGATATTGATTTGAAACCCCACTTTCAAGTCCTAGAACTTCTCAGGGGTGCAGTATAAAGGTAAGTTGCGTTAAATCGCCATATTTTGGGTTTCCTTGCATGGGGCATGCTCTGTGTCGGTTTTTTATGCGAAATACCCTGTATATGTACACCAATTTAAGAAAGTAATTCTTCTCAATAAAATGCATATCCCAAATGGCTTTGTTTCCAAGTAAGAACATGATAATTCTGTTTACTCTTTACTTCCAACAAAGTTTAATATGGACTAATAAAACTTGGGCTTAACAATTTAATCAGTTACTCGTATAAGTAAAAATTTACTCAAGTGAATGTTTAAGACCTTTAAAAAATTTGATAATTGACAAATGAAAACAATAAATATGTATTATCCATTTTTTATAAAAAATTTTAGCTTTGACAGTTGATTTTTCTACCTATACCGCAATAAGTCTTTTGAAAAAAAATATTCAGAAGTAAATTTGATTGTCGAAGTTTGAATAGAACTTCTGATTAATTAGTTTTTTAATTTTAAAACCAGTTAACATAAACTATTTTATTGAATAATAATACTTAGACGATATAATTTAACCATAATTTCGAAAGAATAGTGCCTAAAAAATGTGTTTTAAATCAGTTTTTTTAAACAAGAATTTTGAATTTATTAAATTCAAATATTTCGCTCCAAAGTGTGTCTTTTCAAACCGTAACGTAAAAATCAAAGTACAAGTCCAGTATAGTTGCCTAACAATTCAGTAACTCGACTCTTAGGGATATTCCTCAAATACTAGGTATACAGGGTGTTTATTAAGTACTTGTACAAACTTTAAAGGGTGAATCTTTCACTTATTTTAAGATAAAAAGTTCATATTTTTGAGATACAGAACGTCCAAAAAAAATTTTTGTTTGGTATAAGTGTTGTAAATGATCTAAGTTTGTCACATCGCAATACAATCAATTAAAGACACATTTTTTACTTGGTTTTCAAAAAATCTTAACGATTCAACTTAAGTATAAAGATTCCAAAGTTTAACTTTAAATCCGTTTTTGTTACAAAACAGCTGCTTTTTAGACAAAAATGAAATACAGTGCGATACAAAAAAGTTATGGTTATTTAAATCCATGTACCTACAACAGTGTATGTGGCGCCCTCTAACATTAAACAAAAAACTAAGTATATATTTAACTTTTTCATCATTAACACTCCCAGTTTCCCGAAAATACCAAACAAAAAAATTAGACGCTTTGTATTTCAAGAACCAAGTAGTTGCGGATCCATGTTCATATGAACGATTTACCCTTTAAAGTTTGTATAAGTACTTAATAAACACACTGTATACTAGTGCTCAATTTTCTTCGTTTTTTTTTCAAGGTCATGATTATTTTGAAAATTATTCCGACATTGCTGTTGTTTAATCGCAAACGCAAACTTCCGATGAATCTGTTGTGTTTAAATTGTTTTAAAATATTTATTTTTGAAACATTACAAAAGTAGTACCCAATAATATCAAAAAATGAATAGCAAAACAGTTCGCAATTAAAACTCATATAAGAGACGAAATTACCTTAAACGTCAAGAAATTTCCAATGTAATTTCTCGTAGTGTACCAACCAAGCGAAATGGTTTCGGATTTTTTTTTGTTGCTGCAGTAATGTTTCAAAATATTGTGTTTGATTGGCTACAAAATAAATATGTGAAATTTGCAACGTATTAAAAAGACCTAATTAGATTATTTGGCACTTATAATTAAAATCGCACGTGTCTGTAGACAATACAGCTATCAAAATATTTTCACAATTTTCGAGTACTTGTTATTTATGAGGATGAAGAATTGTCTGTAATTAAATTAACACGTATCTAAATATACAGTGTAACTTATTGAATACCTGTCTGAAAAATGGGTTGTCACTTTTGTTCACACTTATAAAATCTACAACGACAGAAACCTACAAATTATCTGTATGTGCAATATGTGACGAGAAAGCTGAAATACTTGTGGGTTTTCGAGGGAACTATTATCCTTCAAATTATTCATTACCATTTACTACACTGCAAATAGGTACCTAGGGACTAGAGTTAAACTAAGCTAATAAATGTCGCGTAAAATGCTTAACCTACAATTTCTGTCAACATCTTTGCTCATTAGATGGTATGTCTTATGTAATATTACATCTTACAATTTGTAGTCCTGAATATAGTCCTTTCTCTATAGAATTGAATACAACGTATAATTCGATATAAATTTACTTTTTCAAAAATATCGTTCTACACTACAATGATTAAATTATAGTAAGTGTAATAAATAATTAAAAACAAGTAATTGCAAAATATCAATTTCTTTTTCATTATTAACAAATAATACCAAGTATTAAAACTAAATAAGCTTATTTATAAATAATAATATTCTTTAAGGCAATTTGATATTTTTTTGTACATCGTTGCTTAATATACCCAAAATGAATTATTAATTACACTTATTTTTTTATATATACTGGTTTGACATATGATATCAGATTTATTAGATACTATGTTAAAATTATACGCTAACAGCTGTCGAATTACCTTGTCAACCGTTTCAATTGTATTAGTAAACGTTCTTTTGCTTTTGTTAGAAAAATTACAAGCAAATTTAATCTTTTAGTCACCCTGATGTTAGTAACTACAAAAGTTATTTTAATTTATGGAGTGCAAAGGATATTATTTATAACTATGAAGTAATTAAACTACTAGTCCACTTTGCAATTTAATAATTTTATATTTTATTAAAATTTTTATGATGAAATAATGTTTATCAACTGAAACACAACTGTGCCGGTCCGTAGGGAAAAGCAGAAGCTGATGATGAAATAAAAAGTATTACAAATACTCATCTCCATAAAAACCGGTATCCTCGATAAAATTTAGCACGATGATCTTTAACTAAACCAATCCTTAAACGTTACACCACCTACACTTAACGAAAGTTCGACGCACGTTACGTAACATTAGAAATCGATATGTCAGAGTTCAGTGCAGTGAAAGGTAAGTGGTACTTACCAAAAACCTCATGATGATACTTGGAAGAAGAGACTAGGACATATACAAATTATCGATCAAAGTGAAATCTCTATATATACCCTCTCTACTAGAGCATCCTCACTCTTAAAGTTATGACTAAATATCACCCATATTTTATCAGATTTTTTCTTATGAAACATCATAATGTGTAAAGTTTTTTCCTGGATAGGCTTTTATATAACTTTAATAATAAAATTCTATAGTCTCTGTTAAAAACAAAAGAGTGACATTTAAGTTTAGGATCACATCTGATCAACTTTGTTACATAACAGTCAAATTAAGTAATTTCTGATTTATTTTAATTTACAAATTTACGCTTTTAAATATTGGAAATGCAACGTATATTTCAATATATCTATGTAACACGTGTACTCAGTAAAATCTAGTAGTTCTATTTTTGCTTAATGAAATAATCATTATTGAAAGGCAATACATACATATGCATTCCTGTTCTGTAAGTCACACATCGTCGTGTAGGTATTTCGAGGTTACTTTATCACATCTGGCTTTAGGTCGATTGCAAAAAAAAATGTAATAGGAAGTGTAAAATCAGATTTATGCATTTGAATTTATGCACTTACTAAATACTTTTTTAATTTTATATAGTAACTTATTATTAGTTATTTTAAAAGTTAGTTCAATAAAATGTTTATAGGTTTCATAATATTTTGAATATACAGTGAATAACATACACGATTTTTGAATTATTTGTGAACGTAGTTTAATCGCTTCAAATAATTTTCCCGCCTAACAATCTATCTTCTATTATCTTTCCCTGAAACGAACTACAAATTCCATTCTTCGTTCCCCATTTCTTAGATGTAGTTTATGTACTGGTTTGAATTTATAATCATGGTACTTATATTTTTTCAAAATTTTTAACGGTTGTCACTAAAGTAACACATTCTCTTGCGATTACCCTCATAAAACTCTCTGGATATATGTTAGCTTGTCACAAAATATTAATTTCATTAACGGGTTCCCTTCTTACTTGATGTCTAGTACATTTACTTATAGGTATAATTTGGAAAAAGTAATCTCTGAAAACAAATAAACAGTAAGTATACCTGCGTCTAGGTTTTTTCACACTTCCACCTACACATTTAAAAATACCGTTCAATCAGACTAGTGTCTTTCTGGATATAATTGATGATAGTTCTAATAGTTTCTACAGTTTTTATTATTTTTTATGTATAACTTATACATCTCTATCTTCTCTATAATTGAAAACTTTACAATAATTTCAATTAAAATAGGTATTAAAACAAGGCAGCAAGCTCTAGCAAATTTTGAATATGTCAAAATGTTTGTTGATTTTTGTTTTACGTCAAGAATTAGATTTTATTATTTTTTAAATAAATTATTGAATTTCTTTAATTTTATGAGTTATTTATTCAAATAAAATAGTAGTGTTACATATTGACATGTTCGTAATTTTATCTTCTATCTGTTACTGTCAAGATTACTCATAAAAAAAAAAAAACAATTGAATGTTGCATAACTGAAACTAGTGGCCGTAGAAATTTTCTTTCGACGAAAATGGATTCCTCGTATCTTCTTATCCCCCAGTACCAAATTTCAGCTCTTTCTGTTGTGAAATAAGGATGTTAGATGGCATTTTCTAAAATTGATATTTTCAGTTTTTTCACAATATTTCAGGAACGGTAGGAGATATCTTTGATCTGTTTGGTTTATTTTAATAATCCTGAAAAGGCGCAACTGTTTTCTAATTTGAGTCTCCCTGTATATCTTACGTCTTCTCAGATGCCAGTGGTGAGCTATGAAAAACGGACCACGAAATAAATATTATTATAATAATAATAATATTTATTTATATATTTTTATTTTAATTTTGTTTGTGTAAGTATGATTAAATANAACCAATTATTAATGTTTTAAAAGTTTTATGAAACAAATTAACTTATATTACGAACATCGAAACTAAACTAATTCTTAAACTAGGAAATGTTCAAAACTGTCATTTTTAATTTTACCCACTGAAATTGTTTATGGTTTGAACTGAAGTTTTCTATTTCACAAACTGTTTTTAGTTCAAATTCGCAACACTTTACTTTATGTGTTTGGAGAATACGCTTATGCTTATGCAACTGGACTTACGTTTATTTCTGTCAGCTTCTGAATTTTCGATCGTCACTCTAACCTCACATTAGTTGTGGTTTATCATCTGTACTCGTTCTTTGAAGATGGCTGTTGGATATGAGTGGATTGCTTCCTGGTGTTTTTGATGTTATTTTCGGGAGCCCCAGGACAACATGCACCCCTCACCAGTGTCTCGGATCAACCTCTCTTTTCCACTTGTTTACTTCCCACCGATACTCTTTTGTTTTCCGGTACAATGTAAATCTTTGATTTGTTCCTTTTTAATTGGTCACTCGTATCCATGATATTATTTTCTAACTGCGCAATTTCTCCCACATATTGCGACGAATTTTATTTTAATTAACTTACGGCGTAATTTATATTTTATAACTGCGTAGTAAATTTTATACATCTTAAACTAATTTTACAATAAATTTTTTATATGACATTCTGCATGACAAATTTTTATAACAAACTTCTAGCCTATGTGTTTTCTGATACTATAATATTTGAATTTTCTTTTGTACTAGATTATTTAACGTTTAGTTATTCGTAAAATTGTTAAATTGGCCCTTCTTGTGGCATTTTTCTTTTACTTTCATGCTTCTACTTCGAACCTAAACTTTATTTTCTTGACATGCTTCTCGTTTACAATGTATCAGTTAAATTTTGACTGATAATGTTTTAGTTTTTATATGAAATAACTATGAAAGGAGATTTTTATTTTTCTTTAAACGTAATTTATGTCTTTCTTAGAGTCTACATTATAATTTCATGAAATTTTCTCTGCTATTACTCGGTGTCATTTCTTGAGATACAGTGTGTTCATTACAACATATATTGTCATGCCACTTAGAACTAAATTTTAAATATTTTGGAAATTGTATACATGTATTTAATTCGGGTTTATGTTCCTAAATACAAAGATGTTTTCCATTTTATTCAAAACGCGAGGCCATCCTTGAGTAACATTTTGTTAAATTTAAAATAAGCCTTCGACATTGAAAATGTATAGATGTTTGTTAAAAAATTTAATTTGAAATGTAAAGCAATTATGAAAAGTCCATAAAAATGGTAAGCGCAGAACCTCTTAATTTTCTGAGGAAATCAGAATTACATTGCAATAAAAGTTACACAATAACAAAAAGTCCCTAAAATTATTTTGTATCAAACGCAACTTCTGGAAATATTTAGATTCATTCAACTACGTCGAAGAAGTATTTTAAAATTGCTCAAAAAATACTCTTTGTCGAATAAAATGGGGAAGTCTATATTCTTAGAAACATCAACAGAAGTTAAATGGGTTTATTTAATTTCTAGACTATTCGGTGACATCGAAATTCTGGGGTTTTTAGTAAAGGTATCTCCCAGCGTCTCCTCTAATGGTTGACAGGTAGTATATCATCAAGTCAGCGATTTTTGCCTCATGATTAGTTATTTCAATGCACATTAAATATTTTAAGAGATATTGAAATAACGCTACTAAATGTGATATATTTGAAATATCCCAATGAATCAATATTTAAACATCACTGTAACTCGAAAACGTAGCGTCCCGCAAACTATATTTATATTTATACTATTTTTTCTTATGTTGATTTTTATGACACCATATAATTGTGATTTCGTAATAACAATAATAAATATACAAGTTATTGTAATTGAACGAAATTTCGTCAAAACCGAGAATACGCGTATAAAAGGAAAATGAAAATTTTGTAAATCTATAAATGCATGTACAGCGACACCTTTGACTGGAGGAGTCAAATTCTATATGAGTTATTGAACGAACTGAACATGTTTCTGACCGACAACTTACATGGGAACTTTTCGTATATAACAATAGTCCCCCACATATAGGCAATTAGATATACAAGCAGTTACAAGGATTTTCTCAGTAATAAAAGAAAAAGAAAAAATATGATGTTATTTAGCAATTCTAGCGAAATCTAGAACGTTTCGGTAATTAATTTAAATAAACCTTAGGTACTTAAATATCTAGGAATATTCTCATTTTGATTATAACATAAATTCATTTATTCAGTTGATTGAGAAACCAGAGATAACTGTGTAATAATTACAACCAATATCTACAATAAAAACCACAAGCTTGCGATTCGACTTAATAAAAATTTCTGAAATCAAAATAAGACGATTGTGACAAATATGCCTTATTCAAGTGTTGCTCTTATTCAATATAAAGGATACAAAAATTAAAAAAAATAAAATTATGGTAGATACTATCTCCTTTAAAGTGCGGCAAAATTAGGAATTATTTGGAAGTCATCGGCAACATTTTACTCAATTGGTGCCTTATTTAAATAAATATGATACTTCTTGAATATAAAAGACTCGGCCGTTTTCTAAATAAAAGTGAATTTTTACCTCTTTGAGTGTTAGATATGAGTATAAGGTAAGAAAATCAACAGCAATTATTGGTGGAAGAAACATATATTTTTATTATTATTATTATTATTGGTTTCATGAAAAAAATTGTTTAATATCTTGGGCAGAGGAACTACAATAATATGATTACAGTAAACATGAAATGAATGAATTCAAGAAAATTGTAGATTCAAAATTATTGGTGTTTGAATATAGGATTAGTTAAATGTAACAAAATTCGTTTTATACAATAAGGGTGTGGAGTCCAGTATAGTTCCTGAGGGATCTACTTTGGGTCCGATCTTTTGCCCACCGTACATTAATGTTTTGCCTAACTCTGTAGTTAATTGTTCCTATATTTTTTATGTAGACGACACCACTGTATTAACTAGAGCTGGTTTTGAAGTGAGTGATATCCAAATTGCTAACGACTGGTTCTCTGCTAATAATTTAAAATTAAATCAGTCAAAAACACAAAGGCTGCTACTAGCTCTGATAAATGGGCTAAGCAATCTCAGCCTGCCAAATTGCTTGATGTTATCCTTGATACCCGTCTTACCTGGAGT